TAAATATAACAGAATATGAAATATATACCCAGTATATTATATACAAACACATCTTGATAAGAAACAGATAAATAAATTATTATAAATAAAATAAAATCAAAGAGAGAATAAAAAAGAATAGAAAGAAGAATCTAAAAAAGGAAAAGAAAATTGAAGATAAAATAAAATGAGAATATTATAGAAATTATAGAAATAAAAAAGAAAAACAACAACAATAAGAATATATAAGAATAATAAATGTAATAATTATAAAAAAGGGTTTATACTAAAATTAAAGAAGAAATACTGCATGAAGAAGAAACAAGAAAATAACGAGAAAAATTATGTAAAATAAAGAAAAACAAGAGACAATTAAAAAAATATGAAAATATAAGATTAGAGATGAAAAAACAGAAGAAATAATAAAAGTAATAGAAATATATCAAAATTGAAAACACCATGACCAGATATGATTCAGTGATAATATTTAAAACATTTAAGTATAATCAGAGATGATATAATAAAATTAATAAAAACATAGTATAAAAAAAGAAAATATAGAATATTGAATAACATACTATATTAACATAGAAAAGATAAAAATGAAACAATAACTTATATACCAATCAGTTGAAGAAACATATTATATAAAATGTATACAAAAAATAAATCAATAAAAAAAGAAATGAGTTAGAGATAATAATATAAAATTAAATGAATCAAAATATAGATGTAAAAAATTGTATTAGCAAGAAAAGAAGTAATAATTAATAAATAAATTCAAAAGAAAAGAAAGATAAAGTGAGATATACTATGATTTAATAAAATTATATGATTTTATTAAACATAAATTGATGAAGAAATTAATCAAATAATATAAAATCAGTATAAAATATATAATATGAAATAATGGAGAAATAAAATGAAATAAGAATAAATAATATTTGAAATTCAAATTGAAAATAGGATAATACAATGAGATACAATGTCATGTTTTATATTAACATTATACAAATAATAATCAAATAAATGAATATAAAATGAAATGAAAGGAAGAATTCATATAAATATAAAAGAAGAAGATAAAGAAGATAAAGATAATAAAAAGTATAGAATTATATTTAAATATCATGAAAAAAGCAAAGAAAAAGGAAGAAAATGAAGAGAAAGAAAGGTATAAAAGAAAAAGTGAAATTATGAAGTAGAAGAAGATGAAAAGAATAAAAGTATAAAGTTGAAGATATAAAAAGAAAGAATTTAAAAAGTATTAAATCAAAAGGAGAATAAAGGATGAAAAGATGGTTGAAATAAATGGTATTTTTATTGTATAAATTAAAAATGTACAATAAAAGTGTCTATTCTATTAGTGCCAAATAATTTGGATTGTTCTATTGATACAAAATATTTTACTCTTTTTCTTTTTGTGATTTTTATTTAGATGCATTATTTCTTCTCTTATTTTCGTTCCCACATTCAGAATATTAATCATATAATCAAATATCACTAAATTAAATAATATAATCAAAACAATTTTAAATATAAGAAATAATGAATAAATGGAAATGAAATAATAATAAAATAATAATTTAATATACAATATGTTTAATTATTATTTATTTTGTATTTTGTTTTATATAAATGATAATGTTATAATAATAACAATTTCAACGTATTATCATGTATTTCATTCTAAATTATCAATATTCAATATCAATTAAATAAACAAATAGATAAATAATATAAAAATAAATAGAAATGAATAATAAACAAAATACATAAACAAATAATATTTATATTTAATTAAATCAAGTGATATAACTATCTAATATCAATATTAAACAAATAATAAATTATTTATAACAAATTGTATTAATTTAATTCATTTAAATATTCTTGTTGTTTATTTGTATATTCAACACATTCATTATCAAATATTAAATACAAACCATTTATATTCAATAAAAATGATGAACCAAATAAAACAAAAAGAAAATAAACAAAAGTGATGAAGAAAGAAGATAAAGAAGATATGAATATGTTTAAATGATGAAATTGAATAAAATAAAATATTAAAAACAAATAGAATAATGATAATATAAAATAGAATGAAATACAAATAAATATGATGATGATTTCAAATAAAATAAAGTCATAAACATTCAAATAGAAACATGAGAATAATAAAAGATAATAACATAAAACAAGAAATGATAATATAAAGATAATAGAAATACAATAATAAATAAAATACATCCATAAATAAACAAAATTAAATAAATTAAATTCATAATTATTAATATAAATAAATATGATAATTGTATATACACAATTGATTTAACAAATAAAACAACATTTTTAATAAATAATGAATAAGAAATGATAAGAATAAATAATGAATAAGAAATGATAAGAATAAATAAAAGAAATGATAAAATGATAAAAATAAAATAAATATATAAAAGAATCAAATGAATAAAATTTAATCTATTTAATAAATGAGAAAATAATAAATAAAATAAAATGAATAATTCAATATTGTACTTTTATTCTATTTTTATTATTTATTTTATATATGTTCTGTTGTTTATTTTTGTTATTCAATTTCTTTTATTCTCTTTTATTTTCTATTATTTGTTGTTATTTTTCTACTTGTTTATTTCTTTTTATTAAATTAATGATATAACAAATTGATATTAGTTTCTCCAAATTAATAAACAACAATGGTATTCCATTTAAACTAATCATTTCTCTACCATTCATTATCTTGTTATTATTTATTATTTATTTTTTCTCTTTTATTCTTTGATATTGTTATTTATCTTTCCTTTATTAAACTTTTTATTTTCCTGATTTTATTCAATTATTCTTGATATGTATATGTTAATTGATGTACTTCTTTATAAATTCTTTTTCTATTTTCTTTTTATTTCTTGTTTATTCTTTTCTTTCTCTTCTTCCTTTTTGTCATTTTATTCTCCATTTTTATATATTTTTATTTTTCATTTAATATTTCCATTCCTATTCATTCCTTGTGTTTTGTTCTTTAGTATTCTTTCATTTTATTTCTTATTACTCTTTATACTATTTCTATATTCTTTTACACATACAACTCAACCATTTCATTATTTCTTTATTAACTTCTTCTATTTTGTATTCATTTAATTTTATTCAATCCCACTTTCCTTTCTTTATTTTTTATTTACTTTCTTTTTGTGTTTGTTTAGTTATTTACTGTCTTTTTTATTTTTCAATCTGTTCTTTCTTTTTCTTACAACTTCAATTTTCGACTTCTTCATCAATCTTCTTTTATTCATTTTTGTTATGAACAGTTATATTAATGTCATCAATAACTCTATAAAATGTGTTTAGTTGTGATAGAAACAGTGTTTCATGATAACCTTTATGGTTTGAATTACAATATTTTTAACTTATTTTATGTTGTTATTTACATTTTATTTATTTAATTAATTTATTGAAATTATCACTCAAATTATTCTTATCATCTCTTGTTTTCGTTATCTCTTTTATTCAAATGTCTTCCACTGTATTTAATAACTCTTCAAAATCAATTTCTTCTTTTATTATCTTCTTCTTTTTTTCTTTCACATTTATTATTCTTGTAGTTTTACATCTTTTATTCATTTCTCTCTTTGATTATTTTCTTTTTATTTTGGATTAAATGTATTCTTTATGATTAAGAGAATTATTCAAAGAGAAATCACAAACATACAATAAAATA